ACTACTATGCATATGTAGCTAGAACTATTTCTAAGACTAACAGCACAAAACCTTTCTCACTAATTTCTAGCCTTATTAACTGGAGTACAAACGTTTTCGGCCTTCTTAATAGGCCTTCCTCGGGTACACTGTGGAGCGTCGGTTAGAAGAAGTTTAAATGCTGCCAATGTTTACCCAGGTGTCGTCTTACCCGTGACGTCTTCGTCGATGATAGGTATACGATACCGAGGGAGAAAAACTACATACTTTTGGTAAAGAAGGGAGGTGTGCAGATAGGATACTTGTAGTTGTACCAAAAGTATGTAGTTTTTCTCCCTCGGTATCGTATACCTATCATCGACGAAGACGTCACAGGTAAGACGACACCTGGGTAAACATTGGCAGCATTTAAACTTCTTCTAACCGACGCTCCACAGTGTACCCGAGGAAGGCCTATTAAGAAGGCCGAAAACGTTTGTGCTCCAGTTAATAAGGCTAGAAATTAGTGAGAAAGGTTTTGTGCTGTTAGTCTTAGTATCATTATCAATTCCATTTCATTTCTTCCCAACTAGAAAACAATATATATGTAATACATATAGTCCTAAAATGCTAAAATGACTAGAAAATGATTTCTAGTCATTTTAGCAGTTCAAATCTATATTCATTTCTTTTATGCTTAATGTTTCTGTAATGTTTTTCCTATAACTTCATCTGAACATTCCTCTTCTTTTTTCTATTTAATCTTAATATTCAAAATTGTTTTGTAAATCTTGTCACCTGACCCAGATTTATGGGTACATGACCAAGGGCTCCACAAAAAGAAAATAATAATAATAAAATTAAAAATGAGAGAAACGAAAAGAAAAGAAAAGAAAAACTGATTCATAAATCAAAATACAGAAGACTTTATTTATAAATACCATATAAATTTAAAGTAGGGAACACTATAGTAGAATTTCTTTACAGATTTTTATATTATATAATATTCATAACATTAAATATCATATTAAGATATATTTTATAATAATTTTTTAATTTATAGCATTTGGTCCTTTTCTAGAGGGGCCTCCACAACTGCAAGTGGTCTAGAGCCCACATAAATAAATCCATTCCTTCGTGTTATTCATTCTGTTTGGATACATAGATTATTTTAGATCTGTCTTTATTGATATTCTTAGTGTTACAACTTAAGAAATGAATACAAATCCATTAGTTTGTTAAGTAAAATTTTATTATATCTTCCATGTAGAATTCTTTGGATTCTGATAATGAGTATACAGAACATGAAAGTGTTTGAACTGTTTTATTTTTCTTTTTTCTGCTCTATTAATTAAAGTATTTATTTTGATGATGGATTTTGATGATGAATAAAAGATATTTAATAATCTTTATCACTTTATTTTTGTTGTTGTTTATAGAATTTGAAAATTTTCTTCATATTTGTCTTTATTAGTTATTCCTTTTTTTGTCTAATTTTTGCTGTTTCAGCTATTTCAAAAATATTTTTGTATAAAAAACTAAATGAAATGATGCAAAGTAGAATAATTTTCATTTTCTGTGCATGAAATTTGAGTAATACAGTATATGAAAAGATTGTGTGTAGGATTTTACCGCTTATGTAAAAAGGAAACAGATGCTAAAGTTATTATTTAAAATTTTTTAAGAATATTTTATTTTTATCACATTGTGTTTACCATTAAAATAAGTCTTTTCAAACTATCATTTAAACAAATATTTTAAAATAGACTGTAAGAAAGCTTAGTCTGTTAAAAAAAACAAATTTTTGTCTCTATAAAACGGTCATTGAATTTTTTGTTCTTAAAGTAATTAGTATTTTTATAATACATAAAAACAGCAAGTTGCATCAATTTTAATATTTTTAATGCTGCAAAAATGTTTTTTTACATTACTTGTAAAAGTAATTAATAATTGTTTTCAAATTTACAATTTTTTTTATCATTGTATTTAAAATACAGAGATAAAAAAACCATAAATTTTCACAAAAAAATAATGTGTGAATAATAAACCTGAGATCAATTGAATTGATCTCAGGTTTATTATCAGGAGAATTGTGCTGCTCCTGAGATCAATTGAAAATCTTGCAGTCAATATAAGGTTATTCAATTAGTGATTCACTTGGATATGTCTTTCATTTATTACAGCATGTTATATAATGAGCAATATATAATGAGGGGGGGAAAAAAACTAGTATTGTGCTGGACATTACAAAAAACATGATAATATCTCTAAAGGAAATTTTCTTTATTTTTAATATAATTTTACTAGCAAATATTTATACTCAATATTATTATTAGAGCATAACTTTCAAATAAGTTTAATGGAGAAATTATAATAAAAGAACTATTGATAAAAATCAATGTGATTATGCAAAATTTACAATTAAATTATTTCAATTTAATGCTTTATTTATTTTAATTAAGAGTCATTTATTTTACTAAGCATAAACAGAATTTCTCATAAATCATTTAGTCAAAAAAATTGAATAATAAAGTTTTTCTTCTTATTATTCATTTTTTGTTTAAATTTATTGAAAAATTGATATGGTATTCTTATTACTATCTTATAAAATTTTATTTTATAGCATACCAATTTAGTTGCTTAAGCTATAAGTTTTTAATCTTAATTTTAAATAGTGTAGCTTATTCTTATTACAGTAGAGCCTCGAAAACTCGGCCTAATGTGGACCAAAGGGTGGCCGTGTTTGTGAAAATGCCAGGTTATCGGAAATGGGGTTAAAAAAGGATAAGTATGCGTGTTTCCTCAGAAAACATTGTACTATACTTGTATGTATTGTTTGCTTGAGAATACAACAGAGAATAAACTGCCCAAATACCCTTAAACAAAGGAAAAGTACGTCCTTTATGAAGGCATAGAGCCTTTACTACATGAAAATGAAAATTAATGAATACACTGTGTACAGTAATTTACCTGATAAGACAGACCTCAGAAAAATACTTTATGAGG